AGATAAATCAGTAACAGTTTTTGGTTATGAAGGACTGTGTAGCTAAATCAGTAACAGATTTTGGTTATGAGGACTGGGTAGATAAATCAGTAACAGTTTTTGGTTATGAAGGACTGGGTAGTTAAATCAGTAACAGTTTTTGGTTATGAAGACTGTGTAGCTAAATCAGTAACAGATTTTGGTTATGAGGACTGGTTAGTTAAATCAGTGACAGTTTTTGGTTGCTTGCTTTGAACAGAAGTTATTTGCACTATATAATAATATACATTTTGTTAATCCAAATGTATAGGGTTTCCATTTAATGAAACGAAAAACTTATAACGAGCTTCATTCACAAATTTTTAATTTCTCTACTATCCTATTGCCATAGTACTTCCACGAAAAAATTAATATTTTGGATATAATGTAAGATTAATTATGAAAAAATAAAATAACTTCCTGGAGCAAATTGAGAAACCATATGAGTGTATATAACCAATTAAAATTTAAACATATGCAAAATACCCTTCTACTTATCTGCTAACAATAATTGTCTTACTTCTAAATTTGATAAACAATTCATTGGACATATCGTTTCTATTTTATATATATTTACACCGCGCCACCTATGGAGCAAGAATATAAATGCTTGTTATCAGTTGTTTATTGACATATCCTAATATGCCATATTGATCTTTCTAAACACATAAGCAAAATTTTGGTACGGATGTTAGATTTAGCAACCATTCGAAATGATTAGGTGTTTATTGCAAACAACATATTCTGGTAGATGCTAAGAATGTAGATTTCTATTTCTGAATGAAGTGTATATGAAAAGTACACGTCCCCATTGTTATCTAAAATTTTACATATTAATAAATCTAAGCATGTTAAAGTACAACTTTGTGTTTGACATTTAAGGAATATAACTACTGTTTGACTATAATTTTTACTAAGTACAAAGTAAGTCTAAAGTTTTAATAATGATGAGTTTGAAAATACTTTTTTGACCTGACGACATTGTTCTTACCTGAAAAGAGTGCTGTTGTTAAAAAAAATCGACGTTTGCTACTTTATCGCCTTTTATATATGTCTTAATTTAATTCTCATGTGGTAACCTTGACCTAATGTGATGTTCATTTGCAATGTGCTTTTGGACGTTGGCTAAGCACATCTTCTAGTTGGTTGTTTTATCTGTGGATTTCTTTTTGTTTTCTAGTTAAGCACAAAGCTACACAATGTGCTCTGCCCACCACAGGTATCGAAACTCGGTTTCTAGCGTTGTAAGTCCACAGAGATACCGCTGTGCCAGTGGGGGCTTATCTGTGGAACTAAACCATTTATCAATTACTAAAACTACTATTTCTTCGGTTTGAAAGCACAAATCATAAGATTAAAACAGTAATAAAACTCAACAAGCTATTATAGTAATAGTTTCGTGTGGAAGAAAAATAAGATGTTACTAATTGCTTGTTCGTCAAGAAATTTCGTTTTTATGGTCTCAGCATTATTTAAATGACAATTCGAGCTATATATATATATATATTTCTAAATGATTCTAAAATCCGTATAAGAATTTAATATCAGTTAAGAAAACGAGTTCCTGTCTCTTTACTGGCTGATTGTTAATTTTTGTGAGTTTGACCTGTGGAAACAAACATTTGTTTTAAATGAAATAATTTGGAATTTAAACATCATTAAATAACGCGGTTCCAACTAAAAGTCAGGAATATAAATCTTAAGCATTATTTTTGTATTATGCTTTTTTCAGATATTTCTCAGATCCTCCATAATACTTATATTTATATTTGCCATTTTTAGTAGATTTATGATAAAAAAAAATAACCGTTATTTCACGCGCAATTGGTGTCGTTGAAGGCTTGACGAATAACATTTCAGGAAGGCGGCGCTACTGTTTATTATCCCTCATCGGGCCAGCAGAAGATACGCACTGCATTCGCGTTGGAATAGTCGAGGGTAGATGCATGGTAGAGCTAGCATGTAAGTTAGACGCTATAGTCTTATCTTCCGGTAGGTTGGCAACCTGAAACACTGACGCTGTAGTTTGAGAATAATCTTTCACTACAGGAAGTGATGAGACTATTGGAAACAGCACTCTGTCACCTTGGTGATGTTCTTCTTTCTGCTATTACTAGATATAAGCTAATTCTAGTTGAAACACATTTCTTTTGAGAAGTACGGCATTTTATGTTCCTGTCAAGTTTACAACCTTTTAATCCGGAAAACTTGGCTCTCTTTTCGACACCAAACTTTAAACAATGAAATCTGTTTTCGTACAAGACATATCTGAACGAGATTCGGACACAGCGGCTTGTTAAGCAATATCCTTTCCAGACAAAAGCGTAATTTCAGTTTCTTTTACAGTTTATTTGTTTGTTTGTTTTTTCATATAAGAACCGGCTATGAATTTAGAATTAATACAAGAACTGCAAACCTCCACGTGGCATTTCACCTTCCGACATCGCAAAATGTTTGCTTTGATGTGTATGGTTTTCATCACAGAGGTCACTGTAATTAATACAGGTGAGTGTTATTAAGTAACTACTTTGAAATATTTTCTTATTTCATATATATGTCAAAATTTATTTCATGCGAGTACACAGTTTAAACACAATCTTTAATATGCATGCGAACAAATTTGACGACGTTGTCTTCTATCTTGTCGTTTGGTTTGTTTGCTGATAAACACAAAGCTAAACAATGGGCTATCTATGCCCTGTCCACCGCGAGTATCGAAACCCAATTTTTAGTGTGAAAAGCCCTTAAACTTATCGCTGAGCCACAGAGAGACAAAGTTGGTCGTTGCTTCGTTTTCTCTAATTAAATGTTTTAAAATGCAATGTTTGCAACTTTTGAATCTCACTTGGTAACGTTGGCCTAATGTGATGTTCCATAACGTGCATTTGCGAAGTCTTTTTGACGTTGGTACAAAACATTTTCCACAAAATATTCTCTCTGTGAAACTAAACCAATTAGCGATTACGGAAATTTCTATAGATTCGGTTTAAAATGGCCTGTCAAAAGATTAAAACATGTAACAATGCTTAATAAACTATAATAATAATATCGTATGAAGGAAAAACTGAAAACAAAGAAGTGAAAACACCATTTATAAAACGATTGTATTATAAAAATATATAAACACTCATGGTGCACTAGTTTTTATTACAAAGAATATGGCAGTTGAATGACACATATAAAGGGTCATATATTTGTTGACATGTTTTAGTAGTTAAATTCTAGAGCTTTGCCTATAGAAAAAGATTCCCTGATGGGTAAGCAGTAAGTTTATGAACTTGCAACGCTAAAATATGAACTTCGATTCCCGTGGTGAAGAAAGCACAGACAGCCATTGTATAGTTTTGCGCTAAAACAAAGTACACACCTATAAAAAGTGTTAATAATATAAAACTAATAAAACTACATATATTTGTCCAGTTGTACTAAGACATAAAGTGTTTTTTACAATCAAACAATGAAAATTAAGCACTGTCTCATTGAAAATTATGTAGAGTTTTAATAGTCAATGAGGAGTTTCTTAACAAAAAAGTACACAGAGAAATCACACTTCGAAGATTGCTTCGAGATCTAACCTTCCAGAATGATTTGATATTCTTCTTCTTCTTGTACGTAATTTGCTTTAAAATTCGTATCTTTTAACATCTGAGCCAAGTTGCACTTAAAAATTGTTCTTTCTCTGTTTCATTGATTAATTGCACGTTTGTAAATAAAAATAATGTAGTTATCTTTTCAGAGACTGGCATATTATTTGTAACATCACAGTCGTCTATGAAACACAAAACATAACTGAATCACCAGTAAACATGGTTGCTTATTTTGTCTGTGCACTGATACCAAAATGTTGAACTTTAAAATAATGTGATTAATAAAGGGGAATAAGCTAAATAATGAGCTCCAAATAAACTGTATATTAACATCTTTGATAAGAAAAAAATTCAAGAAATAAAGTGCATGTAGGATGTATATGACATGGTTTCATCCCCAATATACTATTAATATTACAATATACTAGGGATTTTGTTGCAGTACTATGTTATGCCTAGACATTGGAAGAGTGACGAAAGAAACTAAGCCTCGGAAAAAAAATTCACGTATAAACCACATGATTGTAAACATCATTTATTCACTGGTTCTTAACTGAAACTTATTTTCAGAGATACTGGTAATGAGTTGATTTCTTTTTATCGAATAAACTCTATCCAAAATATTATATATTTATTTTTCCATCAAAGTAAGATTGAAAATTTAATCTGTTACGTTAAGACATAATAATATATACAAATGTAATCTGTGACCCGCCGTATCCTCTGTTGTGGATTTCTTTCTTTGATTTGCTGACTCAAACTGTACTGATAACCCTTGACTCTGAATAGACGTAACTGCTACTTGCAGCAGAAGATACAGGAATCAAAGAATATATTAGGCCTCTAAGTCACAGATTATATTTTCAATTTTATTTTGATGAAAATAAAAGAAATATGTATTATAATCATCAATCAGTTGGTCGACTATATAATACCGAATAATGTGTTTGTGTTTTTTTGAATTTCGCGCAAAGCTACACGAGGGCTATCTGCGCTATCCGTCTCTAATTTAGCAGTGTAAGACTAGA